CTAGATAAATTACCAAAATGTAAATAAATTAATATGCTATATATGTGCTAGAATATGCTTTAATAAACTTATAAGTTATTTACATTGTTTTTATAATTATTATATTTGTAATAATAATTACAATAGGTTGATTTAATGATTATAATCAAGTATATTAATTGTTATTATGATCCAAGATATGAATCGTAATTGTCTTGGTATGAAGTTAATATATGTATGTGTTATGAAATCGTGTGAGCTAGTTAATATGTTCAAACACACTGATGTTGCCATTGTTAGATATGGGTATGATGCTTGGGTATGTATAGGTGCGCTAGCTAATAAGTTTAGTCACGTATACTTTGTAACTATGTTAAGTTATAGTTACGATGATTGATATATGCATGTGATGTGGAACCATGTGAACTGACTAATAAGTTTAGACTCACTAATACCTTGTTGGATTAGTTGTCATAGACATAATTAGTCTCTGTCGGGGTATGTGGTTAAATGTTTATGGATTCGTTCCTCAGTGTTAATTATTTATGGTTAATGTTCAAGGACTTGTTGCTTATCATTATTTATTTACAGTTAAAGCTCTGAAATTTGTTGCTAGCATTATTTATTCGTGATTTTATGTTCCGGGATTTGTATCCGGTATTTATTGCTTGTGGTTAATGTTTCGGGATTAGTTACCCAATATTTATTAATTATGTAATATGATATGAGTAGATTCATTGTCTCGTGATCAGAGTTTAAGACTAAGATGTATATTGCATGACACGTGTTACTGGCATAGGAGATTTGTTTCCTTGGGTAGGACTTTGGGACACTGAGTCACTTTTGGTGTGTTTCAGTGGTCACCATCTATTCTGGTTAAAGCGCCCTATATGTAGTGATTGTCTATAGTGTATATATTTATGTATGGACTATGTAGCTATTGCATGAGTTTTAGCTAGAGATGAATTGTTTATTGGTTTTCAGGGGTTTAGTAGAAAGGACTTCCTCGTAAGTTTAACCCACTGCTGTTTATATTTTCAGGTTCTTAGAGGTTTCAGTCTTGAGGTTGAGGATCTACAGCTTGGAGACTTCATCTATCATCTCCTCTCCTTTTTATTCAAAGTAGGATGTTTATTTATTGATAGTCTTTAGTCATAATATTATTTATTAAATTATTAGAATATTTGATTATGGTTTTAGGGGCCCTTGATTTATGGGATTCCTGAATTGTACACCTTTGAAGATTTATTATAATGATGGAGTTTATTGGAGTATTATTTATAGTAGGGATTTATTAATTATTATTTAGTTTTCCTTTCAGCGTAATTATGATTTATTCTTATTTACTCATTTTATATTATATGCTTGTTTAAATACGTAATTGTTTTGATATTCCTTGATTTTTTAGTGTGGACCTGATCAACACATGACTTGGAAATTAGGCGATATCACATTTTCTCTTTTATCCGTGGTGGTTTTATACATTTGCTCCAAAGCCTTGACATTCTCTCTTTTAGACTTGGTAGACCCTAGGTCTATTAGCTACAATTTTCACCACAACATTCATTCTATTAGTTGCAATTTGTCTCCAATATATCATTTCTGTTGAGCATGATTGAGATTGCTAAACAAGAAATTTAAAGATTGGTTATGGCCACTAAATTAACTAAAAAGAAAATAATAGTTCATATGATGAGCATGACAATACATTTTTTTCCCCCCACAAGTGTTCCAATTAGAAAATACAATATCTTAAAACTAAATATGAGGGGTCAATAATACAGAAAGTTAAAGACATGTTATTATGAAGAATCAAAAGATGGCAGCACTTTAGTCAACTTACATTGAATAGAAATTACTACAATAATCAAAAGATTGCAGCACTTTAGCCATTGAATAATAATTAAAACTTTATTGACTTCCAATCTGTCAATACAATCATAGTGTAAAATGAATCCAAGACTGGACATGTTAAACGCAATTTAAAATCGAATAAAATTTTAAGTGACAAATACATTTCTTATCACTAAATACTTTAATTAGTTGACATTTTTTTTTTCCCTAGTTGGTACACACACACACATGTCTCTTCTGAGACTTGAACCTTTGACCTCCCTTTGGGAAGTAAGAGGCTGATACTGCTAGGCCACTGGCCCGTTGGTAATTAGTTAACATTGTTGACATTAATTTATAGTAAATTTAGAAGTCATCTTCTATTTTTAACATTACCCTACCTCAATAATAAAGAGCATTAGGAGAAGACTAAAATTACTAATGGGATAAATTTGTTTGAAAACAGGGTTTTAGCTACGGAAAATTTCATAGCAAAATGCACCAATTTCGTAGTAAAATAACCAATTATTTGGTACAAATTATTTCCGTCACTAATATACATATTTGCTATGAATTATTTTCGTCGCTAATACAGTAATTTACTGTGAATTTATTTCCGTAACTAATACACTTATTTACTACGAATTATTTCCGTCACTAATACAATTATTTGCTACGAATTGTTGCCATCACAAATACAATTATTTTTTACAAAATAATTCTGTCATCAATACATTTATTTGCTACGAACTAAACTTTGTAGTAAATACAATAGAATTAATTACGAAGTCAAAAATTCATAGTTAATAAGAAAGAATTTACTATGAAATGAAAATTTTGTAGTAAATACCTCAGTAGTAAATATTGACGCAACTATTTCCATAGTAAATACACTATTATTTACTATGAATTTGGTTCCGTAGTAAAATATTCCGTAGCTAAATGCCTCTTTTCTTGTAGTGATTATATTCTTCATTTTTTTCCAAACAAACAAAATAAGTTAAATAAACCACATAAGACTACAATCCCCTAAGAAATAACCCTCAAAGCAAGCAGACATGTCCATTGGAATGACATGAAGAGCGAAATCTTGAGAAGTGTTGCTTCTGGATAGTCTAGCCATCGCATTGGCCACCTTGTTGACATGCTCATGAACATGGCTAAGACAGAATCCAGAAGCATGGACTTGATATCATACGAAAGCGGAAGGAGGGCTAGAGGACAGTTAGGAATAGGGATGGCAATAGGGTGGGGCGGGGCGGGGATCTCATTCCCCATCCCCATCTCCGATGAATTTTTTAATCCCCATCCTCGTCCCCATCCCCGCTTAAAATTTCACCACCACCCCCATACCCTCCCCCGGCCCCGCCCCCTTATCCCCGGCCCCGATTAACATATATATTTTTAATATATATATATATAATTTTTCTTATTTTCATATATATATATATATATATTAAATCTAATTTAGTAATAAATTATTATATGTAAGGGTATATTAGTAATTTCACACTTAATCGGGGCGGGGCTGGGCGGGTTTACCCATTCCCCGTCCCCGCCCCCGCCCCCGCCCCCGCCCCCGCCCTTGCCGGGTTTTTAAAATTTATCCCCATCCCCATCCCCGTTTACATAAAAGGGTTCCCATCCCCGCTATAAACGGGGCGGGGCGGGGACCCGGCGGGAATGGAGAATTTGCCATCCCTAGTTAGGAAAGGATTGACCAACATTGCAAGCCATAAGGGAATCAAATTCAAACCAAAGGTTTCTAAATTGAAATCATTTAGCCCACAACACCGCCTGGCACATGTAGTAAGCTTTAGCAAAGGCATCATCGGAAGCATGGAGTGGTATTTTTTCTTTTCCTTAACAAATAACACATTAACATATTCCATCTCAACACAGAAACTTAAACCCTCAAACTTCGATAAATTGAAAAGATTTCTCCTACAATTATGTATTTTTTAGACGAGGGAGGATATTCTAATAGATGACTTCTCTCTCACACATAATCAAGTAGAAGTGGTAGTTTTTTGTTTTTATCATGACAAATTAGAGGAGAGTGGAATTCGAATAGTGACACATCCGCTCAAGAAAATGGACACTCTATCAATTAGACCGCTCAAGATAAACCAGAAATAACTACCAACCACCGAAAGCATTACAAAGAGGATTTTTGTTTTTTAATTTTTATTTATTTGTAGAAGTAAATATATTCAAGATGATAGAGCACTCATTATTCTTGCAAATTTTCCATTCTAATTATGAGTTTTTCCATATGCATGTGTTACCATGTCTTATTTCTCTTGTATGGCTTTGACTGATAGTCTGGGGCGTGTCTTTGACTTGTCCCTCACGTAATCATCAAACTAATATTAATTAATTCAATATGACTTCTCTCTCTCTCACAGAATCAAGTAGAAGTAGTAATTTTTTTTAATATTTTTTTATATTAAAAGAGTGAAACTCAAATACTGACACTTTAATAATTAAATCACTGAAAATCAACTAAAAGTAATTAACTACCTGCACCAAAAGCATTACCAAGAGGATTTTTTTAATTTTTATTTATTTGTAGAAGTAAATATATTCAAGATGGAAGAGTCATTATTCTTGCAATTTTCCATTCTAATTATGAGTTTTTCCATATGCACGTGTCATCCAATGTCTTATTTCTGATTGGTTGACTTTAACTGTTAGTCTGGGGGCCTGACTTTGACTGCTAGTCTGGGGGCACTAAACTTGCAAGTGCCTTTTCGTCCTATCAAGATTCCCCCTAGTGGGTCATTTCATTAAACTAATATTAATTAATTCAATATTTCTCACTTATCTCACTATATTCATTCAGTTGAACCAGCACATCAATTTTGAACCATTTGCTTGTTCAAGTGAGGAAAGGTTGTCGTACAAAATTATACATAAATAAGACGATTCTTTTCAAATTGCTCTTGCAGCACAAAAATATGTTATATATATATATATATATATATATATATTTTTTTTTTTCCCTTCATTTTGTTTGCGATGTTCAGTTTGGGAAAAAAATGGTATTGTAAAGTGAACTGAAAGATTGAGCTCTGCCAATTAACCTCCCTACAAGCATCCCAAAATTGTGACTTCAAAAAATTTAGATGTATATCCAATCCAAAAAAATTAAGCTAGTATTTACCTCCTCAGTAATAATATTAAAGTAAAATAACAAATAAATGAATGTATTTAATTAAAAGAATCAAAAGTAGAGTACACGTATATATGTGCAAATTATGGAATTCATGGATCAGTGCATCATGATGGTGAATTCCTCAAAGTTAAGGACACCATCACTATTGATATCAAACATGCTGATCATGGCCTTACAATCCTCCACAGTGGACGACTTCCCGAGTCGACTCAGCATCCTCTTCAAGCTCTTGGGTGTAATACACCCAGTCCCCTCCATCTCATACATCTTAAAGGCCTCTCTCAGCTCCTCCTTCCTCTCTTCCTCTCCACCATTCTCCATCAGCCTCCTGAAGTCCTCCAACCCCAACATCCCGTCTCCGTCCGAATCTGATGACCGGACAGCCATCTCAGCCTCCTCATCCGACAGCTCCCCTCCCACCGTCCTCACGCAGCTCTGCAACTCCTCCGGTGAGATCTTGCCGTCCCCGTTCTCGTCGAAGTACATGAATACCCTTTGCATCTCATGACTGCATTCATCATCATTAGCACAAAAAGTCGTACTTCTTGATGGACTTGAATGAAGCGAACACTTTTCCGGCGACCTTCGCGGCGTTAACTTACGACATAATCTTCCGATAGCAGACGATGAATCGGATTTGATTCTACAACTCACTACTTCTGGTGATGAAGTTGAAGAGTAGTGCAGTATGGCTTCTGATTTCATGTAATCAGCTATTGTATTGAAACCACGATTGAGTGTGTTGATTGTGTGTAATCCAATTAACACAACGAACTAGAATATGAGAAAGTATACCGTACAAAGAAAACAAGAGATAGATAACTTGTATAAGAATGAGTTTGAAGAACTAGGTTGTATATGAGCTAGGATTGATCGAGCTGCTGAATTGATTTTATAAGTTGTGTGGATATGTGTATGTGTATATATATAGGAAAATATGGTGGGTGGTTTGGTAGGGTATGAAGAGAAATGGGGCGCCAGTTGTTTTGTGTGCAGGGAGGGATAAGATGCTGAGTTAGCAGCGCGTAGAAAAGGCGGCTGCGAAAAGAGAAAGAGTGAGGAGATATACATAAACATATAAGTGGGGGCTTTGACACATGGAAATTGGTGGTCAGTGACGTTATACATATACAGTATATTCTAGATTAAGATTAACGGTCAAAGACTGACACGTATGGAACACGGTTCACTTTGTTTCTGGCCAATCGATTCCTTTTTGTTTTCTTCTTCGTTAATGCTACTAAGAAAGCCCATTTTTTTAAGAGGGTAATGTACAACACCACCCCTTTAGGTTTGTCGGAAAAAAAAAAATAAAAATAAAAAACATGTAGATATAACTTACTTTATTTTAAGATCAAGAAATCTTCTCAAGATTGATAAAACTACCGAAGATACTCCAATAGTAATAAATTGAGAAATAGTCTAAGCTCTGATACAAGTTATAAAGAAAAGCAGAAAATATAAACTTAAGAAGGTTTACAAGAGGGAGAGAGACAAATTAGAGAGAAACTTTAGATAAACGATGCCTCACTCAATACAATGCATCGGTTTAAATAGAAAAATAAAAGTGACTTTTTTTATTTGGTAAATAGTGAAAAAGTCAAAATTAGTGTTCATAAATAATGTCCGGATAGAATGGAATCTGCTTTTACTGTTCATGAATAGTATCTTGTCTCTACTTTTCATTGTTGATGAATAGTATAATGACCCCGCCCGTTCCGATAGAACCCTAACAGAGGCATATAACCACCAAAAACTGCCAGGCTGTCGACGTTATCATCCGCCTCTACATCAACGAACCTTCTGGTTTTTGTGTGTTATTATCAATTTATAAAATAACTACTCGCAATAGAACGAATCCTTGTAGGATAGCACTATAGAGAGGGTGTCGAACCCAGAGGGAGATGAGTATTTATGTTATGCTTTTAATTAATCTCTATTGGTTTACAGATAACTGGTTGAATTGTTTGATTGGTTGTCACGATTATAAACTAAAATTAAACTAGAGTAATCAGAGAGAGAAATGTCTTAGGGCTTTCGCTTCACTACAACCTTCATATTATGGATAACTGTTTCAACTCTGTGGATTTAACAAATTATATTTTAAATGAATTGAACTCAATAACATTTATTCAATTCAAGTTTTAAAAAAAGATGTTTTATAAAATTCAGTTAACTATAACATATCTGTGGTTAACATGAACTATCTACCTACCTACTCTAACAATTTTAACTACTTTGTAAATAATCCATTTTTCCTAAGCATAGACTATGAAAATATTCTTTTATAAAAAACGTTAGAACACCATTACATGACCTTTATTCTTATGTCCGGCAGGGCTCCGCCAGATACTGTCCAACAAGAGTAGGTTAAGAATAGAAAACAAATAGTTATATCTAAGACAAGGTAATAACAATTTGAAAACTATTTAAAGTATTAAATCAAATTGAGTTATCTCAATTGCTCATAGTCATATAATAAAAAACATAGTATACATTAAAATATCACAGAGTTAAGAACAATCAAACCATAGTACTAGATTGGGTTACATCAATGCCCTAAGAGTGGAATTAGCTACTCATGACGATGCCGAATATCATCTGTGTTGGAGTCATCTCCATAGTCATGGACGACATTTCTCTTTTCAGGATCTTCACTTTCTAAGGTTATGAAAACCCTCAAAGCTGCCACCACAGTTTCAGCCTTCTGAATAATACGAGAAAAAAGAACTTCTTCTATCAAGGCCTATGCCTTCTTTTATAGAATAAAATAAAGGTCTGGTGGGCTTTTAGGTCTTCTGGCCATCTGGAATGAGATACGGCTTGTAAAAAGAATAATCCCATAATGTAAACTTGATCTGTCATGGAAGGCTCGAGCTTTAGGAAGTAGAGCTCGAGCTTTGAGGTTCGGGCTCGAGCTTTCGGAACAAGGCTCGAGCTTTTTTGGATTGGTGCTCGAGCTTCAAGGAATGGTGCTCGATCTTTCACTTTGACACTTAGCCAAATTTCTTCAACTATTTTTCGAAGCGTCTTTTCTTTCTACACTTAGAATATTTTTGGGGTTCATCTCTTTTAACATTGCTCGATCTAAGCTTCATGGGCTCGAGCACTAGGTACCAGGCTCGAGCTTTGGATGATGGTGTTCGATCCTTGAGGTCTGGCATGAGGCCCTGGGAGCTTGGTTTTTTCCATTAAATCAACTCTTCAAATTCCAATGCCTTGTGCTCGAGCTTGAGGGTTGATGAGCGCTGAAAAGTACGTATTTAAACCCCTTAAGCTTGAGTATTTTAGGACCTTTATCTATCTTATTTTTTCATTTTAGACTAATTTCATGTTATTGCCCTTTTCAGGCACTTATCTCCAAAATAAGTCAATTCAGCCAAATTAGAGCATAAAAGAAGCAATTTCAAGCTAAATGGAAGAAATGAGCAAAATGAAAGCAAAGTGGTGAAAAATAGCAAGTTTCGATCGATCAGACAAATCTTTAATCGATCTCACAGTGATCGATCCAGCCTTATCAAGATGGATCGAGCCTCTTGTCCTTATCCCCAAGAATTTTCATCTTCAATCGATCCCACATCCTTTTAATCGATCGAACTTCTTTGATCTTATCCCCACCTATCACTTTTGTCTTTTTTCTAAAATATCCCGAAAATGTCTCAGATTTGTTGGTGTACCAAAAAGGTGCCGCCATGGTTCGATCGATCTCGCCAAATTTTGATCGATCGAACCCCCTCAAGTTCGAAAAAAAAAAAAACAGAGTCTAGCTCATGAAAAGATGGCTCATGGTGTAATCATTGAAGGGACCCTAGTGCACGAGGCCTAACCATTGGGTGTGACACTTGAGCTACCTATATAAGGATTTTGAGCCATTTATACATAAGAAGAAGAAAGGAAGAAAAGATATACACAATCTTAGAGAGAAAGGTTGGAGGAGTCTTGAGATTAGAGAGATACACACCATTTGGGAATTCTTCCATTCATCTAAGGTTTCCATCAAGAAGAAGATCATTCTTACCATGGAGATGGCCTTTGAGGATTGGATGACTACATCAATGAGTGGCTAAACATCTTCTTGGGGCTAGAGTTAGCCCTAAGCATGCTTCTAGATCTTGATGTTTTGTATTTTGAGGGGATTTGTGTTGTAATTCTTGTATTGACATTTGATTTATATTTGAATCTTGTTTCTACAATGATTTGTATTGTTTAATACTTTCAATTAATCATTTCATTCTACTCATATGTCCATGTATATTAGAATAGATGTTCATGTGTTTATCTCTAGGTTTTTTGTTATTGATGCATGTCTATGTGTGTTGATGCTATAAATCTAGAGATTGCCAAGGCATGGCGCTTTAATGGAATACTCTTGTAGTTTGTTTGATGGTTCATACTCATTTCTTGATGGATTGTGCCTCTACCTTAGTTTAATTAGTTTAATTTTCATGTCCCTAGTTTAGTTGTAATATAGTTGCCTTACTTTCTTAGATGAGAGGATAATCCATGCTTGTTGTTTGATGTTCCATGCTTATGAATGTAAGTAGTATAATTCTTTAACTTGTTAATGTGTTTTGATTGTGAGCTTAAAGGAAGGAATAATGGCTTAGTTTGATATATTGTGCTATTCATTAGGTTGTTTAGACAATGTATACTTAATTAGTCATCCATGCTTGTTGATTCAATCAATCACACATATTAGTATTGCAACATATATTTCCCCTCATTCATTACGCATTGAGTGTTTGGAAAGGTAATGTTTAGTGGTGACCTTTAAGTCCCAAGATCCCTTTCTCTTATTTCTCTACCCTTTATTTACTTTAATTGATTTATATTGAATTTGTTTATATTGTAGTTTAATTAACGAATCAAACCACCTTTTGATCACTCGATTACTAATTCGACCTTGTTTCCATATCAATATTGCTTCCAATCCCTTGGGACGATCCCTGCTCACCCCAGCTATATTAGTAGTTAGAGGTAGTAATGGCACTTTATAAATTCAAACTTGGCCATTCTTTAACACGTTTTAACTTATTGCTACACGACACACACCAAGTTTTGGCGCCGTTGTCGGGGATTAGGCAACGCGGTATTTTGGAAACAATTAGGAATTAGTACTCTTTTGATCGTATTTTTACTTTATTTTGTTTTGGTTACTTATTGTGTTTGTTTTTGATTGGTTAGGTAAATTGAGCAAAGGAAAGTGAAGTAAAGGAGAATTTTAAAGCAAAGAGCTAAGCTAAGTATAAAAAGGCTAAAATCTAAAAAATTGCAAAGCTAAGCAAAAATTAAAATTGATTTGAAGTTGCTTAAGGACCCTTTGTGAGCTTTTCTAAACTCAATCTCTAGTTAAATCGTGAGCGCGCGTGGAGGCAAGTTTTTATTTTCTTAGATAGATCGTAAGCCAGCGTGGAGGCAATTTAATTTTTCTTGCATATTGTTTAAAGCATGGGAGTATGGAATCATTGTATGTGGATGATTGTTGATTATTGATTTGTTGCGGAGGAGAAGTGATTGCTACTTGCTTGTTACTTGTTTTTGTTTTGTTTATGCATGCATGGTCGTAGGTCGTTAAATCTTACTTATGTCCCACTTAATTTGAATCTTGAATCCGTTGTTCATAATTCTAAGGGAAGGGGTAGCTCTCATCACTCCATTTTACCAATAGATGAGCAAAATGACGACCATGTGGAGGACCTTGGTCACGTAGACCAACAAGGCATCCTCCACCCTAATGTGCATCATGACAACATTCAAGTCCCATTAGGCATGCCAAGACCATTCATTCCACCACAACAACAAGGCCAAGTTCCATTGGGAATGCCTTGGCCAATTTTTGCTCCACAACCTCCTATTATGCAAGGCAATCAAGGTGTTCATGTAGCACCATCGTTTGTGAATCATCCTCTTGCTTTGCGTGATCATTATGTGCCAAATGAATATAATGCACCTACATGCATTTAACTGCCCCCATTTAGAGCACAT